AGGGCCGCATCGCTCAATGCTGCTCACCTATCTCTTCTGGTGAGTCTCTGTCTAGACTAATTCTAGCTCAGTCTACCTTCAGTCCAGTACATGCCTGTGGCAGGTTTTCGTCGGCACGCTGATTCATGCTTCAATCAAAACCATGCTGTGTGAATGCAGGGTGTTTGTCCTGGCTGGACAACATCCTATGTTGAATGCAGGTGCGTTGTGCTGGGCTGGAACAAGACACAGCAACATGTTTGAACAGCGTGTCGTTAGTGCCTGGGCTGGAACAAACCATGCCATGTTGATCAGGTGTGTAGTGCATTCTGGCTGGGACAAGACCTGCCATCAAGTTGAAATCAGTGTTTAGTGCTGGCTGGAACAAGAACCAATGGCCATGTTGAACAGGTGTGTTTAGTGCTGGGCTGGAACTGCCATGCCGTGTTGAATCAATGTGCGTTAGTGCTGGGCTGGAACAGACCATGCCATGTTGAATCAGGTGTGTTGTGCTGGCTGGACAGACCATGCCGTGTTGATGATCATGTGTTGTTTAGTGCTATGGCGTGGAACAATACCAGCACATGTTGAATCAGGTGCGTTAGTGCTGGGCTGAGAACAAGACCACCGTGTTGAATAGGTCTCGTGCTGGGCTGGACAGCAAGACCATGCCGTGTTGAATAGGTCGCGTTATGCTGGGCTGGAAAGACCATGCCATGTGAACAGGTGGTTCGTGCTCGGCTGGAACAAGACCCAGCCATGTTGAATCAGGTGCGTAGTGGGCTGGAACAAGACCATGCCATGTTGAATCAGGTGCGTTAGTGCTGGGCTGGAACAAGACCATGCCATGTTGAATCAGGTGTGTTAGTGCTGGGCTGGAACAAGACCATGCCGTGTTGAATCAGGTGCGTTAGTGCTGGGCTGGAACAAGACCATGCCGTGTTGAATCAGGTGTGTTAGTGCTGGGCTGGAACAAGACCATGCCATGTTGAATCAGGTGCGTTAGTGCTGGGCTGGAACAAGACCATGCCATGTTGAATCAGGTGCGTTAGTGCTGGGCTGGAACAAGACCATGCCATGTTGAATCAGGTGCGTTAGTGCTGGGCTGGAACAAGACCATGCCATGTTGAATCAGGTGCGTTAGTGCTGGGCTGGAACAAGACCATGCCATGTTGAATCAGGTGCGTTAGTGCTGGGCTGGAACAAGACCATGCCATGTTGAATCAGGTGCGTTAGTGCTGGGCTGGAACAAGACCATGCCATGTTGAATCAGGTGTGTTAGTGCTGGGCTGGAACAAGACCATGCCATGTTGAATCAGGTGTGTTAGTGCTGGGCTGGAACAAGACCATGCCATGTTGAATCAGGTGTGTTAGTGCTGGGCTGGAACAAGACCATGCCATGTTGAATCAGGTGTGTTAGTGCTGGGCTGGAACAAGACCATGCCGTGTTGAATCAGGTGTGTTAGTGCTGGGCTGGAACAAGACCATGCCATGTTGAATCAGGTGTGTTAGTGCTGGGCTGGAACAAGACCATGCCATGTTGAATCAGGTGTGTTAGTGCTAGGCTGGAACAAGACCATGCCATGTTGAATCAGGTGTGTTAGTGCTGGGCTGGAACAAGACCATGCCATGTTGAATCAGGTGCGTTAGTGCTGGGCTGGAACAAGACCATGCCATGTTGAATCAGGTGTGTTAGTGTTGGGCTGGAACAAGACCATGCCATGTTGAATCAGGTGCGTTAGTGCTGGGCTGGAACAAGACCATGCCATGTTGAATCAGGTGCGTTAGTGCTGGGCTGGAACAAGACCATGCCATGTTGAATTAGGTGCGTTAGTGCTGGGCTGGAACAAGACCATGCCATGTTGAATCAGGTGTGTTAGTGCTGGGCTGGAACAAGACCATGCCATGTTGAATCAGGTGTGTTAGTGCTGGGCTGGAACAAGACCATGCCATGTTGAATCAGGTGTGTTAGTGCTGGGCTGGAACAAGACCATGCCATGTTGAATCAGGTGCGTTAGTGCTGGGCTGGAACAAGACCATGCCATGTTGAATCAGGTGCGTTAGTGCTGGGCTGGAACAAGACCATGCCGTGTTGAATCAGGTGTGTTAGTGCTGGGCTGGAACAAGACCATGCCGTGTTGAATCAGGTGTGTTAGTGCTGGGCTGGAACAAGACCATGCCATGTTGAATCAGGTGCGTTAGACCATTCACACCTGGCATAGCTTCAGTCCTCGAGGTTCCTGCAGTGTCTGCTGGTTTATGACATCACTTCCTCTTCTTGTCTGTCCCCAGGTGGGCGTGACCTTGAACGGCCTAGTGGTGTGGGCGTTGGCCTGGCGTGGGCGTGGCCGCCTGATGAGGCGTGGCAGCGTGGGCGAGGGAGAGACGCGCGGCGCCAGCAGCTTCCGTGTCTACGTGGTGAACCTGGCGTTGGCTGACCTGGTTCTCCTCCTCCGTACCCCTCTGATGCTGGCGTACCTGGCCCACGGCTGTAGCTGGCCCCTGGGGGAACTGGCCTGCCGCCTGGTGATATTCCTGAGGGGCCTGGGGCTGTACGCTGCAGCCTTCCTACTGTGTGCCGTGGCTGTGGAGAGATGTCTGTGTCTCCTCAGGCCAGTCTGGTCCAGTCTGAAGCGTCCTCGCTGGGCTGTTCCCCTGGTGTGTGGTGTCCTCTGGGGGCTGGCTGCTGCCCTCGCCGTCCCCTACCTCCACAGCGCAGCCCTGCTGGAGCTCAACGGTACCACCCAGTGTCTGGAGAGCATTGGGTACAGCGCTGGGCTGTTTCTGACGGAGACGGTCGCTGGGTTCCTCCTGCCTTTAACGGTGTTCCTGGTGAGTAACATAGCCGTGCTGTGGACCGCCAGGCAGGCAGGGGACGCCAGACCAACCTCTTCATCCTCAGCGACTGAGAGACAGATGACCAGGCTGTACCGGCTCCTCTTCCTCACCATGCTCCTCTTCCTCTCCTGCTGGGTGCCCTACTTCACCTGCCGCTTCCTGCGGGCGCTGGCGGCAGGGCGGGAAGACCGGGCGGGGCTGTACCGGGCGTCGTTCACGGGGGCGTACGTCTCTCTGTTCCTGGTGTATCTGAAGAGCTCCCTGAACCCTGTCCTCTACGTGTTCGCTGCCCGAGGCCTGGGGCGCACCGTCCGCGCCTCGCTGCCCTCCACCATCGAGAGGGTCTTCAACGACGACTTGTCTGACTCCAGGAGTAGACGGACCCTACGGAGGGGGGATTCGCAGATCTAGTTCCCTAAAAAGCCCTGTTAGGGACCCTACATAGGGGAGACTACCAGATCTAGTGCTCCGCAGTCCTGTTAGGGACCCTGCTGCGTTACTAGCTGACTGTATAGCTCCACTGTGGATTACTGCTGACTGTATAGCTCCACTGTGGATTACTGCTGACTGTATCGCTCCACTGTGGATTACTGCTGACTGTATAGCTCCACTGTGGATTACTGCTGACTGTATAGCTCCACTGGGGATTACTAGCTGACTGTATAGCTCCACTGGGGATTACTGCTGACTGTATAGCTCCACTGGGGATTACTGCTGACTGTATAGCTCCACTGGGGATTACTGCTGACTGTATAGCTCCACTGTGGATTACTGCTGACTGTATAGCTCCACTGTGGATTACTGCTGACTGTATAGCTCCACTGGGGATTACTAGCTGACTGTATAGCTCCACTGGGGATTACCGCTGACTGTATAGCTCCACTGTGGATTGCTGCTGACTGTATAGCTCCACTGGGGATTACTAGCTGACTGTATAGCTCCACTGGGGATTACCGCTGACTGTATAGCTCCACTGTGGATTGCTGCTGACTGTATAGCTCCACTGTGGATTACTGCTGACTGTATAGCTCCACTGTGGATTACTGCTGACTGTATAGCTCCACTGTGGATTACTGCTGACTGTATAGCTCCACTGTGGATTACTGCTGACTGTATCGCTCCACTGTGGATTACTGCTGACTGTATAGCTCCACTGGGGATTACTAGCTGACTGTATAGCTCCACTGGGGATTACTGCTGACTGTATAGCTCCACTGGGGATTACTGCTGACTGTATAGCTCCACTGTGGATTACTGAAGCGCTACTAGCTGACTGTGATTGGCTGGCCTACATGCGTTCAGACGTTACAGACCCATTCTGGATGACACGTACAGGCTTACTATAGGCATTATCTTCAGCTGGGTGACGGGTTTACTTCAGCCCTGTTTGGACTTCATGCATTATTAGAACTATAGGCATTATCTTCAGCTGGGTGACGGGTTTACTTCAGCCCTGTTTGGACTTCATGCATTATTAGAACTATAGGCATTATCTTCAGCTGGGTGACGGGTTTACTTCAGCCCTGTTTGGACTTCATGCATTATTAGAACTATAGGCATTATCTTCAGCTGGGTGACGGGCTTACTTTGGACTTCATGCATTATTAGAACTATAGGCATTATCTTCTGCTGGGTGACGGGCTTACTTCAGCCCTGTTTGGACTTCATGCATTATTAGAACTATAGGCATTATCTTCAGCTGGGTGACGGGCTTACTTTGGACTTCATGCATTATTAGAACTATTGGCATTATCTTCAGCTGGGTGACGGGCTTACTTTGGACTTCATGCATTATTAGAACTATAGGCATTATCTTCAGCTGGGTGACGGGCTTACTTTGGACTTCATGCATTATTAGAACTATTGGCATTATCTTAGGAACTGATCAAAAACAATTCCAACACAAAAAAAGACTTCTTCAGGTTTTTAATCCGCAGAACATTATCATCTACTGCTAAAAGATGAAACCATGGACAACACTTACATATGTACAAATAGGGCTACTCCCAACGCAGTATACAATGTTAACTATGTAGCTATTAAAATCAGGTGGTCCATGCAGAGCCATATAAAAAAACATGGCTAATATATGGTCATTTAAATATATGGCTAATATATATGGTCATATAAATATATGGCTAATGGAGTCCTGCTATTGGTGAACCAGGGTGGATGGAGCCTTGCTATTGGCTGACAGCTGTAGGCGGAGTGATCAGGTGGTCAGCGTGTCTGTAGGCAAGTTCCAGTAGATTCTTGGCATCCTGGACCGGCCCGGATGTCTGGAGGGTCTTGGCTAGGTGATGGAGTCTCGTGGTGATGGAGTCTCCGCTAGGAACCAGACGCAGCATCTGCTCCTAGAAGGGGAAGAGGACGGTCGGAAAAACCACTAATTAAAAATGTTAAGATTAATTTGTTCAGTAGTGGCCAAACTGTTTCTCCTTCAAGATTTCCCTTTTTTTAAATGACATGTACATGTCATAAAACTCCAGGTTATTCTGAGACCTCTTGACTATAAAAACTATCTTCCCTGAAAGAGCGTTGGAGATCAGACAGAACTACACTGTATAGAATCTCCTATTACCAAAAATAAATGTATTGTAAATGTATTGTAAAGTGTGTTGCAGATTTATATAAAATGTAAAATATTGAATGTATTGCAGATCAGACAGAAATGTCTACAACAGAATGTATTACAGATCAGACAGAAATGGAATGTATAGAATGGATGAACTCTGCTGTGACCTTCCTGGTCTCCTAGTATAGAATGTATTAACTCTGCTGTGACCTTCCTGGTCTCCTAGTATAGAATGGATTAGCTATGCTGGGACCTTCCTGGTCTCCTAGTATAGAATGGATTAACTCTGCTGTGACCTTCCTGGTCTCCTAGTATAGAATGTATTAGCTCTGCTGTGACCTTCCTGGTCTCCTAGTATAGAATGTATTAACTCTGCTGTGACCTTCCTGGTCTCCTAGTATAGAATGTATTAGCTCTGCTGTGATCTTCCTGGTCTCCTAGTATAGAATGGATTAACTCTGCTGTGAACTTCCTGGTCTCCTAGTATAGAATGTATTAACTCTGCTGTGACCTTCCTGGTCTCCTAGTATAGAATGTATTAACTCTGCTGTGACCTTCCTGGTCTCCTAGTATAGAATGGATTAGCTATGCTGGGACCTTCCTGGTCTCCTAGTATAGAATGGATTAACTCTGCTGTGACCTTCCTGGTCTCCTAGTATAGAATGTATTAGCTCTGCTGTGACCTTCCTGGTCTCCTAGTATAGAATGTATTAACTCTGCTGTGACCTTCCTGGTCTCCTAGTATAGAATGTATTAGCTCTGCTGTGATCTTCCTGGTCTCCTAGTATAGAATGGATTAACTCTGCTGTGAACTTCCTGGTCTCCTAGTATAGAATGTATTAACTCTGCTGTGACCTTCCTGGTCTCCTAGTATAGAATGGATTAACTCTGCTGTGACCTTCCTGGTCTCCTAGTATAGAATGTATTAACTCTGCTGTGACCTTCCTGGTCTCCTAGTATAGAATGGATTAACTCTGCTGTGACCTTCCTGGTCTCCTAGTATAGAATGTATTAACTCTGCTGTGACCTTCCTGGTCTCCTAGTATAGAATGGATTAACTCTGCTGTGACCTTCCTGGTCTCCTAGTATAGAATGTATTAACTCTGCTGTGACCTTCCTGGTCTCCTAGTATAGAATGATTAACTCTGCTGTGACCTTCCTGGTCTCCTAGTATAGAATGTATTACTCTGCTGGTGACCTTCCTGGTCTCCTAGTATAGAATGTATTAACTCTGCTGTGACCTTCCTGGTCTCCTAGTATAGAATGGATTAGCTCTGCTGTGACCTTCCTGGTCTCCTAGTATAGAATGGATTAGATCTGCTGTGACCTTCCTGGTCTCCTAGTATAGAATGGATTAGCTCTGCTGTGACCTTCCTGGTCTCCTAGTATAGAATGGATTAGATCTCTGTGACCTTCCTGGTCTCCAAATATAGAAATGGATTAATCTGCGTACCTCCTGGTCTACCTAGTATCAGAATGATTAGATAACTCTTGGACCTTCCTGGTCTCCTAGTATAGATGGATTAATCTGCTGTACTTCCTGGTCTCCAGTATGATTGGAATGTGTTAGTTACTGCCTGTGACCTTCCTGGTCTCTCCTAGTAAGAGGAATGGTAGATTGCTGGACCTTCCTGGTCTCCTTAGTAGAATGTATAAACTCCTGTGTGACCTTACGGTCTCCTAGTATAGAATGTATTAACTGGCTGCTGTGACCTTCCTGGTCTCCTAGTAGAAGAGGAGGATTAACAGAACTCTGGCTGTGACCTCCTGGTCTCCTAGTATAGAATGTATTACTCTGCATGTGCTTACCTCTCCTGTCTCCTAGTATAGAATGTATTACTTGCTGTGACCTTCCTTGTGCTCCTAGTCCTAGAATGTATTACTCTGTGCTGTACCTTCTCCTGTTCCTAGTATAGAATGTATTATTACTCTCCTGTGACCTTCCTTTGGCTCCTAGTATCGAATGTATAACTCTGCTGTGACCTCTTCCTGTCTCCTAGTATAGATGTATTACCTTTAAGTGTCCTGACCATCTTCTCAACTAGATAGCATTACCTTCAGACTACCTACTTCGCTATAACCTGGTGCTCTTTACTGCCATATATGATTGTTTAGTTCCCAAATATAACTGTGTCTTACCAGCTCTTCCTTAAGGATCTCTTTACGCTCCTAGATATCTATAAGTGGCAGTTACCTTGCTCCCTAATAGGCATTACCTTTAGTCCCTAGACTTCCCTATGGTAGATGGGGCATTACCTTTAGCTCAGACTATTACCCTTAAGTGGCATTCTGTAGCTTCTGACTATCCCTAATAGTGATACCTGTGTAGCTCCCTAGAACTATCCCTGATATAGGGCATTACTTAAGGCTCCTAGATATTCCCTGAGTATAGGATTACGCATACAGAAATCCCAGCTATCTCCATATAGTGCTTACTTTAATACCTATTCCCTATAGTGCATTACCTTTAGCTCCTCTATTCTATATAGTGCATTACCTTTAGCTCCCTAGACTATTCCCTATATAGTGCATTACCTTAGCTCCCTAATTTCCCTATATGTGCATTACCTTTAGCTCCCTATTCCCTATATAGTGCATTACCTTTAGCTCCCTAGACTATTCCCTATATAGTGCATTACCTTTAGCTCCCTATTCCCATATATGTGCATTACCTTTAGCTCCCTAGATATTCCCTATAGTGCATTACCTTAGCTCCCATTCCCTATATAGTGCATTACCTTTAGCTCCCTATTCCCTATATAGTGCATTACCTTTAGCTCCCTATTCCCTATATAGTGCATTACCTTTAGCTCCCTAGACTATTCCCTATATAGTGCATTACCTTTAGCTCCCTATTCCCTATATAGTGCATTACCTTTAGCTCCCTAGACTTTTCCCTATATAGTGCATTACCTTTAGCTCCCTAGACTATTCCCTATATAGTGCATTACCTTTAGCTCCCTAGACTATCCCTATATAGTGCATTACCTTTAGCTCCCTATTCCCTATATAGTGCATTACCTTTAGCTCCCACTATTCCCTATATAGTTGCATTACCTTTAGCTCCCTATTCCCTATTTAGTGCATTACCTTTAGCTCCCTAACTATTCCCTATTTATAGTGCATTACCTTTAGCTCCCTAGACTATTCCCTATATAGTGCATTACCTTTAGCTCCTAGACATTCCCTATATAGTGCATTACCTTTAGCTCCCTAGACTATTCCCTATATAGTGCATTACCTTTAGCTCCCTAGACTATTCCCTATATAGTGCATTACCTTTAGCTCCCTAGACTATTCCCTATATAGTGCATTACCTTTAGCTCCCTGATTTCCCCTATATAGTGCATTCCTTTAGCTCCCTATTCCTATATAGTGCATTACCTTCTAGCTCCATATCCCTATATAGTGCATTACCTTTTCCCTATGCTTCCCTAGACTATTCCCTATATAGTGCATTACCTTTAGCATCCCTAGACTATCCCTATAGAGTGCAGTAACCTTTAGCTCCTAGACTATTCCCTATATATGAGTAACCTTTGCTCCCTATAACATTTCCCCTATATAGTGCATTACCTTTAGCTCCCGGTCACAATATTACACTATTTAGTTAATAGGGTCCTATTTAGAATGCCACTGAGGACTTGATCCCCCATCAAGGAGGAAGCTTCCTGTCAATGAAAGAACCAGATATCCAAATATGGGCTTAGTTCCTATTTTGTCATCATTCTATTACAAAACCAATTCCAGACAACGTCTTCTTCTTACCGAAGTATTTTGCTTCCATCTGTAATGTTCAGTTATGTTGCTACACAGAGTTCCTGTAGATTCCCGTGTAGCTCAGTTGGTAGAGCATGGCGTTTGCAACGGCAGGGTTTATTTTATTTAACCAGGCAAGTCAGTTAAGAACTAATTCTTATTTACAATGACGGCCTACACCGGCCAAACCCGGACGACGCTGGGCGAATTGTGCGCCGCCCTATGGGACTCCCAATCACGGCCGTTTGTGATACAGCCTGGAATCGAACCAGGGGGTCTGTAGTGACGCCTCAAGCACTGAGATGCAGTGCCTTAGACCGCTGCACCACTCGGTTTCCCACGGGGGGCCAGTATGAACAAAAATTAATATGTATGCACTCACTAACTGTAAGTCGCTCTGGATAAGAGCATCTGCTAAATGACTAAAATTTAAAAAATATAAAAATGTAGATTGTTCTAAAGACATTATTAACTCAGTAATAGACTATACATTATGTTGATTCCTACTATGAAAGTATCTGCCAGGCCCTGCTGACTCCCTCCCTCTCCCCACTGTGGAGAAGGCTGCTGACTCCCTCCCTCTCCCCACTGTGGAGAAGGCTAAAGGCTGCTGACTCCCTCCCTCTCCCCACTGTGGAGAAGGCTAACGGCTGCTGACTCCCTCCCTCTCCCCACTGTGGAGAAGGTTAAAGGCTGCTGACTCCCTCCCTCTCCCCACTGTGGAGAAGGCTAAAGGCTGCTGACTCCCTCCCTCTCCCCACTGTGGAGAAGGCTGCTGACTCCCTCCCTCTCCCCACTGTGGAGAAGGCTGAGGCTGCTGACTCCCTCCCTCTCCCCACTGTGGAGAAGGCTAAAGGCTGCTGACTCCCTCCCTCTACCCACTGTGGAGAAGGCTAAAGGCTGCTGACTCCCTCCCTCTCCCCACTGTGGAGAAGGCTAAAGGCTGCTGACTCCCTCCCTCTCCCCACTGTGGAGAAGGCTAAAGGCTGCTGACTCCCTCCCTCTCCCCACTGTGGAGAAGGCTAAAGGCTGCTGACTCCCTCCCTCTCCCCACTGTGGAGAAGGCTAAAGGCTGCTGACTCCCTCCCTCTCCCCACTGTGGAGAAGGCTGTAGGCTGCTGACTCCCTCCCTCTCCCCACTGTGGAGAAGGCTAAAGGCTGCTGACTCCTCCCTCTCCCCACTGTGGAGAAGGCTGCTGACTCCCTCCCTCTCCCCACTGTGGAGAAGGCTAAAGGCTGCTGACTCCCTCCCTCTCCCCACTGTGGAGAAGGCTAAAGGCTGCTGACTCCCTCCCTCTCCCCACTGTGGAAAAGGCTAAAGGCTGCTGACTCCCTCCCTCTCCCCACTGTGGAGAAGGCTAAAGGCTGCTGACTCCCTCCCTCTCCCCACTGTGGAGAAGGCTGCTGACTCCCTCCCTCTCCCCACTGTGGAGAAGGCTAAAGGCTGCTGACTCCCTCCCTCTCCCCACTGTGGAGAAGGCTGTAGGCTGCTGACTCCCTCCCTCTCCCCACTGTGGAGAAGGCTAAAGGCTGCTGACTCCCTCCCTCTCCCCACTGTGGAGAAGGCTGCTGACTCCCTCCCTCTCCCCACTGTGGAGAAGGCTAACGGCTGCTGACTCCCTCCCTCTCCCCACTGTGGAGAAGGCTGCTGACTCCCTCCCTCTCCCCACTGTGGAGAAGGCTAAAGGCTGCTGACTCCCTCCCTCTCCCCACTGTGGAGAAGGCTAACGGCTGCTGACTCCCTCCCTCTCCCCACTGTGGAGAAGGCTAAAGGCTGCTGAATCCCTCCCTCTCCCCACTGTGGAGAAGGCTGTAGGCTGCTGACTCCCTCCCTCTCCCCACTGTGGAGAAGGCTAAAGGCTGCTGACTCCCTCCCTCTCCCCACTGTGGAGAAGGCTAAAGGCTGCTGACTCCCTCCCTCTCCCCACTGTGGAGAAGGCTAAAGGCTGCTGACTCCCTCCCTCTCCCCACTGTGGAGAAGGCTAACGGCTGCTGACTCCCTCCCTCTCCCCACTGTGGAGAAGGCTAACGGCTGCTGACTCCCTCCCTCTCCCCACTGTGGAGAAGGCTAACGGCTGCTGACTCCCTCCCTCTCCCCACTGTGGAGAAGGCTAAAGGCTGCTGACTCCCTCCCTCTCCCCACTGTGGAGAAGGCTAAAGGCTGCTGACTCCCTCCCTCTCCCCACTGTGGAGAAGGCTGTCGCCTGCTGACTCCCTCCCTCTCCCCACTGTGGAGAAGGCTAAAGGCTGCTGACTCCCTCCCTCTCCCCACTGTGGAGAAGGCTAAAGGCTGCTGACTCCCTCCCTCTCCCCACTGTGGAGAAGGCTAAAGGCTGCTGACTCCCTCCCTCTCCCCACTGTGGAGAAGGCTAACGGCTGCTGACTCCCTCCCTCTCCCCACTGTGGAGAAGGCTAAAGGCTGCTGACTCCCTCCCTCTCCCCACTGTGGAGAAGGCTAAAGGCTGCTGACTCCCTCCCTCTCCCCACTGTGGAGAAGGCTAAAGGCTGCTGACTCCCTCCCTCTCCCCACTGTGGAGAAGGCTAAAGGCTGCTGACTCCCTCCCTCTCCCCACTGTGGAGAAGGCTAAAGGCTGCTGACTCCCTCCCTCTCCCCACTGTGGAGAAGGCTAAAGGCTGCTGACTCCCTCCCTCTCCCCACTGTGGAGAAGGCTAAAGGCTGCTGACTCCCTCCCTCTCCCCACTGTGGAGAAGGCTAAAGGCTGCTGAATCCCTCCCTCTCCCCACTGTGGAGAAGGCTAAAGGCTGCTGAATCCCTCCCTCTCCCCACTGTGGAGAAGGCTAAAGGCTGCTGACTCCCTCCCTCTCCCCACTGTGGAGAAGGCTAAAGGCTGCTGACTCCCTCCCTCTCCCCACTGTGGAGAAGGCTAAAGGCTGCTGACTCCCTCCCTCTCCCCACTGTGGAGAAGGCTAAAGGCTGCTGAATCCCTCCCTCTCCCCACTGTGGAGAAGGCTAACGGCTGCTGACTCCCTCCCTCTCCCCACTGTGGAGAAGGCTAAAGGCTGCTGACTCCCTCCCTCTCCCCACTGTGGAGAAGGCTAAAGGCTGCTGACTCCCTCCCTCTCCCCACTGTGGAGAAGGCTAACGGCTGCTGACTCCCTCCCTCTCCCCACTGTGGAGAAGGCTAACGGCTGCTGACTCCCTCCCTCTCCCCACTGTGGAGAAGGCTAAAGGCTGCTGACTCCCTCCCTCTCCCCACTGTGGAGAAGGCTAAAGGCTGCTGACTCCCTCCCTCTCCCCACTGTGGAGAAGGCTGTCGCCTGCTGACTCCCTCCCTCTCCCCACTGTGGAGAAGGCTAAAGGCTGCTGACTCCCTCCCTCTCCCCACTGTGGAGAAGGCTAAAGGCTGCTGACTCCCTCCCTCTCCCCACTGTGGAGAAGGCTAACGGCTGCTGACTCCCTCCCTCTCCCCACTGTGGAGAAGGCTAACGGCTGCTGACTCCCTCCCTCTCCCCACTGTGGAGAAGGCTAAAGGCTGCTGACTCCCTCCCTCTCCCCACTGTGGAGAAGGCTAAAGGCTGCTGACTCCCTCCCTCTCCCCACTGTGGAGAAGGCTAAAGGCTGCTGACTCCCTCCCTCTCCCCACTGTGGAGAAGGCTAAAGGCTGCTGACTCCCTCCCTCTCCCCACTGTGGAGAAGGCTAAAGGCTGCTGACTCCCTCCCTCTCCCCACTGTGGAGAAGGCTAAAGGCTGCTGACTCCCTCCCTCTCCCCACTGTGGAGAAGGCTAAAGGCTGCTGACTCCCTCCCTCTCCCCACTGTGGAGAAGGCTAAAGGCTGCTGAATCCCTCCCTCTCCCCACTGTGGAGAAGGCTAAAGGCTGCTGAATCCCTCCCTCTCCCCACTTTGGAGAAGGCTAAAGGCTGCTGACTCCCTCCCTCTCCCCACTGTGGAGAAGGCTAAAGGCTGCTGAATCCCTCCCTCTCCCCACTGTGGAGAAGGCTAAAGGCTGCTGACTCCCTCCCTCTCCCCACTGTGGAGAAGGCTAAAGGCTGCTGAATCCCTCCCTCTCCCCACTGTGGAGAAGGCTAAAGGCTGCTGACTCCCTCCCTCTCCCCACTGTGGAGAAGGCTAAAGGCTGCTGAATCCCTCCCTCTCCCCACTGTGGAGAAGGCTAACGGCTGCTGACTCCCTCCCTCTCCCCACTGTGGAGAAGGCTAACGGCTGCTGAATCCCTCCCTCTCCCCACTGTGACATGGAGGAGGGAGAGATGCATTCTGAGAAGCACAAGCATATGACCTTTGCTCAAAATGACATTGTTGGAAAAATACAGTTTTCAAAGCAACTACTACTGTTGTTCTAGTTACAGAGAGGACAGTCAGCTTTCTGTGAGTATATCATGTATTTCTCACCTGTTAACATTGAGTTCATGGCGCCACTTTACAACCGGAGAAGGCTGTAGTTAGTCTGGTTTTGACGCGCCCCGCGGAGCCGAACCGAGCGCTCCATTCGCAGTGAATACGTCTAGCTCTGGAGCCTTCCTGTAGGACATTAGCCTACATTTCCTGGTAGACCATTAGACATGTAGGCTAACTGATTCACCCATCTAGCAAGGATATCATGTTTAGAGTTAGCAACAGGGTGTTTTTAAGTTCCCACTTCCTCAGGCTGTGAATCGTTTAGTCTATAGGCCAAAGACGGCAGCAAATTCTCTGAAGAGCCTAAAAAATATGTATCTGATCATTCTGGATCATATTTTGACAGGTTGCACATAAAAATATCAATCATGCGTTTCCTGGATATGTTAGATGAAATAGCTTCCTTTTTGAATCGTAGTTGTCTTCCTTGGTCCTGGAAACAACAGTCCAGAGCTCTGCTGCTAATGTAAAGTAACGGTCCATTAAAAACGCTTTTCATTTCAGCATTTATCATCGAGCAAAATAACTACATTTATCACCCTGCTCTACCACCTACCCCCCCAAAAAAAGTATTTATTGTAACGTAATCGCTGATTAAAATCGCTGTAATTACCGCTATTATTTATTTATTTTTACATTAATAATAATAATAATAATAAGCCATTTAGCAGACGCTTTTATCCAAAGCGACTTACAGTCATGTGCGCATAAATTTTTACGTATGGGTGGTCCCGGGGATCGAACCCACTACCCTGGCGTTAAAGATATCTGAACCCAGGTCTGGTCTGTCTTACCGAAAGTTTTAGAGATATCTGAACCCAGGTCTGGTCTGTCTTACCGGAAGTATTAGAGATATCTGAACCCAGGTCTGGTCTGTCTTACCGAAAGTTTTAGAGATATCTGAACCCAGGTCTGGTCTGTCTTACCGGAAGTATTAGAGATATCTGAACCCAGGTCTGGTCTGTCTTACCGGAAGTATTAGAGATATCTGAACCCAGGTCTGGTCTGTCTCACCTGCTGGTTCCTCTCCTCCTCCTGGTCCAGTAGTTGTCTGAGGTTAAAACACTGGCGCTCCAGAGAGTCTCTCTCCCCCTCCTGCTGTTCTAGAGAGGCCACCACAGACCTCAGCTCCGCCTGGGACCCACAGTAGCAGAATCAAGACTAGATAACCACAGACCTCAGCTCCGCCTGGGACCCACAGTAGCAGAATCAAGACTAGATAACCACAGACCTCAGCTCCGCCTGGACCCACAGTAGCAGAATCAAGACTAGATAACCACAGACCTCAGCTCCGCCTGGACCCACAGTAGCAGAATCAAGACTAGATAACCACAGACCTCAGCTCCGCCTGGACCCACAGTAGCAGAATCAAGACTAGATAACCACACACATACCATGCAAATATTCACACACACACACACACACACACACCCCCTTCCCAGTGTCGCACCGCCAGCTTGTTGAGGCTCTTCTTGCCCACGGCTGCCTTTCTAGTCTCTTCCTGGTGTTGACGGGAAGCATGACTCGTCATTTCCTGGTTCTGGATTGGGACTGACAGCTGAGCCAGTTTAGACAGGAACCTGGAACCATCGGCACGATACAGTCAATGTGTTAGCCAAGAAAGACTTCTTATAGTAGGATCAAGTGTGTTAGCCATGAAAGACGTCTTATAGTAGGATCAAGTGTGTTAGCCATGAAAGACGTCTTATAGTAGGATCAAGTGTGTTAGCCATGAAAGACGTCTTATAGTAGGATCAAGTGTGTTAGCCAAGAAAGACTTCTTATAGTAGGATCAAGTGTGTTAGCCATGAAAGACGTCTTATAGTAGGATCAAGTGTGTTAGCCATGAAAGACGTCTTATAGTAGGATCAAGTGTGTTAGCCAAGAAAGACGTCTTATAGTAGGATCAAGTGTGTTAGCCAAGAAAGACTTCTTATAGTAGGATCAAGTGTTTTAGCCAAGAAAGACGTCTTATAGTAGGATCAAGTGTGTTAGCCATGAAAGACTTCTTATAGTAGGATCAAGTCTGTTAGCCATGAAAGACGTCTTATAGTAGGATCAAGTGTGTTAGCCAAGAAAGACGTCTTATAGTAGGATCAAGTGTGTTAGCCATGAAATACGTCTTATAGTAGGATCAAGTGTGTTAGCCAAGAAATACTTCTTATAGTAGGATCAAGTGTGTTAGCCATGAAAGAAGTCTTATAGTAGGATCAAGTGTGTTAGCCAAGAAAGACGTCTTATAGTAGGATCAAGTGTGTTAGCCATGAAAGACGTCTTATAGTAGGATCAAGTGTGTTAGCCAAGAAAGACTTCTTATAGTAGGATCAAGTGTGTTAGCCATGAAATACTTCTTATAGTAGGATCAAGTGTGTTAGCCATGAAAGACTTCTTATAGTAGGATCAAGTGTGTTAGCCAAGAAAGACTTATTATAGTAGGATCAAGTGTGTTAGCCATGAAAGACGTCTTATAGTAGGATCAAGTGTGTTAGCCAAGAAAGACGTCTTATAGTAGGATCAAGTGTGTTAGCCATGAAAGACGTCTTATAGTAGGATCAAGTGTGTTAGCCAAGAAAGACTTCTTATAGTAGGATCAAGTGTGTTAGCCATGAAAGACGTCTTATAGTAGGATCAAGTGTGTTAGCCGAGAAAGACTTCTTATAGTAGGATCAAGTCGCTTAACATAACTAAATATAGAGTGCATTCGGAAATTATTCAGACCCCTTGACCTTTTCCACATTTTGTTACGTTACAGCCTTATTCTAAAATGGATTAAATAAATAAAAATCCTCATCAATCTACACACAATACCCCATAATGACCCATTACCCCATAATGACCCAATACCCCATAATGACCCAACACCCCATAATGACCCAACACCCCATAATGACCCAACACCCCATAATGACCCAACACCCCATAATGACCCAACACCCCATAATGACCCAATACCCCATAATGACCCAATACCCCATAATGACCCAATACCCCATAATGACCCAATACCCCATAATGACCCAATACCCCATAATGACAAAGTGAAAACAGGTTTTTAGAAGAAAGAAAAGGAAATACCTTACTTACATAAGTATTCAGACCCTTTGCTATGAGACTCGAAATTTTCCATTGATCATCCTTGAGAGGTTTCTGCAACTTGATTGGAGTCAACCCTAAGTAAATTCAATTGATTGGACATGATTTGGAAAGGCACACACCTGTCTATATAAGATCCCACAGTTGACAGTGCATGTCAGAGCAAAAACCAAGCCATGAGGTTGAAGGAATTATCGGTAGAGCTCAGAGACAGGATTGTGTTGAGGCACAGATCTGGGGAAGGGTACCAAAATAATTCTGCAGCATTGAAGGTCCCCAAGAACACAGCGGCCTCCATCATTCTTAAATGGAAGAAGTTTGGAACCACCAAGACTCTTCCTAGAGCTGGCCGCCCGGCCAAACTGAGCAATCCGGGGAGAAAGGCCTTGGTCAGGGAGGTAACCAAGAACCCGATGGTCACTCTGACAGAGCTCCAGAGTTCCTCTGTGGAGATGGGAGAACCTTCCAGAAGGACAACCATCTCTGCAGCACTCCACCAATCAGGCCTTTATGGTAGAGTGGCCAGACGGAAGCTACTCCTCAGTAAATGGCACGACAGCCCGCTTGGAGTTTGCCAAAAGGCACCTAAAGGAATCTGACCATGAAAAACAAGATTCTCTGGTCTGATGAAACCAAGATTTAACTCTTTGGCCTGAATGCTAAGCGTCACGTCTGGATGAAACCTGGCACCATCCCTACGGTGAAGCATGGTGGTGGCAGCATCATGCTGTGGGGATGTTTTTCAGCGGCAGGGACTGGGAAACTAGTCAGGATTGAGGGAAAGATGAACGGCGCAAAGTACAGAGAGATCCTTGATGAAAACCTGCTCCAGAGCGCTCAGGACCTCAGACTGGGGCGAAGGTTCACCATCCAACAGGACAACGACCCTAAGCACACAGCCAAGACAACGCAGGAGTGGCTTCGGGACAAGTCTCTGAATGTCCTTGAGTGGCCCAGCCAGAGCCCGGACTTGAATCCTGTGGAGGGACCTGAAAATAGCTGTGAAGCATTGCTCCCCATCCAACCTGACAGAGCTTGAGAGGATCTGCAGAGAAGAACGGGAGAAACTCCCCAAATACAGGTGTGCCAAGCTTGTAGCGTCATACCCAAGAAGACTCGAGGCTGTAATCGCTGCAAAAGGTGCTTCAACAAAAAGGACTGAGGAAAGGGTCTGAATACTTATGGAAATGTGATATATTTGTTTAAAAAAATAAAAAATAATGCAAAAACAATTAACCTGTTTTTGCTTTGTCATTATGGGGTAGTGTGTGTAGATTGATGAGGGGATTTAGAATAAGGCTGTAATGTAAGAAAATGTGGAAAAAATCAAGGGGTCTGAATACTTTGAATGTACTAATATATACAGTACCAGTCAAAAGTTTGGACACACCTACTCATTCCAGGGTTTTTCTTTATTTGTTCTATTTTCTACATTGTAGAATAATAGTGAAGACATCAAAACTATGAAATAACACATATGGAATCATGTAGTAACCAAAAAAGTGATAAACAAATCAAAATATATTTTATATTTGAGATTCTTCAAATAGCCACCCTTTGCCTTGATGACAGCTTTGCACACTCTTGGCATTCTCTCAACCAGCTTCACCTGGAATGCTTTTCCAACAGTCTTGAAGGAGTTCCCACATATGTTGAGAACTTGTTGGCTGCTTTTCCTTCACTCTGCGGTCCAACTCATCCCAAACCATCTAAATTGGGTTGAGGTCGGGGGATTGTGGAGGCCAGGTCATCTGATGCAGCACTCCATCACTCTCCTTCTTGGTCAAATAGCCCTTACACAGCCTGGAGGTGTGTTGGGTCATTGTCCTGTTGAAAAACAAATGATAGTCCCACTAAGCCCAAACCAGATGGGATGGCGTATCGCTGCAGAATGCTGTGGTAGCCATGCTGGTTAAGTGTGCCTTGAATTCTAAATAAATCACAGACAGTGTCACCAGCAAAGCACCCCCACACCATAACACCTCCTCCTACACGCTTTACGGTGGGAACTACACATGCAGAGATCATCCGTTCACCCACACCGCGTCTCACAAAGACAAAGCGGTTGGAACCAAAAATCTCCCATTTGGACTCCAGACCACCGGTCTAATGTCCATTGCTCATGTTTCTAGGCCCAAGCAAGTCTTCTTCTTATTGGTGTCCTTTAGTAGTGGTTTCTTTGCAGCAATTCGACCATGAAGGCCTGATTCACACAGTCTCCTCTGAACAGTTGATGTATGTTACTTGAACTCTGTGAAGCATTTATTTGGGCTGCAATTTCTGAGGCTGGTAACTCTAATGAACTTATCCTCTGCAGCAGAGGAAACTCTGGGTCTTCCATTCCTGTGGCGGTCCTCATGAGAGCCAGTTTCATCACAGCGCTTGATGGTTTGTGCAACTGCACTTGAAGAAACGTTCAAAGTTCTTGACATTTTCCATATTGACTGACCTTCATGTCTTAAAGTAATGATTGACTGTTGTTTCTCTTTGCTTATTTGAGCTGTTCTTGCCATAATATGGACTTGGTCTTTTACCAAATAGGGCTATCTTCTGTATACCCCCCTACCTTGTCACAACACAACTGATTGGCTCAAACGCATTAAGAAGGAAAGAAATTCCACAAATTAACTTTTAAGAAGGCACACCTGTTAATTGAAATGCATTCCAGGTGACTACCTCATGAAGCTGGTTGAGAGAATGCCAAGAGTGTGCAAAGCTGTCATCAAGGCAAAGGGTGGCTTTTTGAAGAATCTCAAATATATTTTGATTTGTTTAACACTTTTTTGGTTACTACAAGATTCCATATGTGTTATTTCATAGTTTTGATGTCTACACTATTATTCTACAATGTAGAAAATATTACAAATAAAGAAAAACCCTGGAATGAGTAGGTGTGTCCAAACTTTTGACTGGTACCGTAAGTGAAAACAATGAGTAATCCAGTATTTTGGGTGGAATAAGGTCATCTATGGATGGGCTTATCCCTTAGTACAGGGAGAGGCAATGCTGATCGTAGTGGGTCCACTGTCCCCAGGCCTACACATAGTTCAATTCTCTCACCTGTTTTTCAGAATGTTCAGATGTTTCTGGGATTCCTCTTTCTCAGTCCGTCTCATGGCCAGAACAGATCTGAGGGAGCGGAGAGAAAGAAAGAGGGAGAAAAGGAGAGAGAGAGAAACAGAGAGAGAGAAACACAGAGAGAGAAACACAGAGAGAGGGAGAAAAGGAGAGAGGGAGAAAAGGAGAGAGAGAGAAACAGAGAGAGACAGAGAGAGAGACAGCGAGAGAGAGAGAGAGAAACAGAGAGAGAAAAATAGAGAGAGAGAGAGAGAAAAGAGAGAAGACAGAGAGAGAGAGCGATAGAGAGAGAGGAGAGAAAAAGAGAGAAAAACAGATGAGAGAAGAGAGAAGAGAGAGACAGAGAAGAGGAGAGAGACAGCAGAGGGAGGAGGGAGAGAACACAGAGAGAGAGAGAGGAACAGAGAGAGAGAGGAAACAGAGAGAGAGACAGAGAGAGAGAAACACAGAGAGAGACAGCAGAGAGAGAAACACAGAGAGGAGAGAAAGAGAGAGAGAGAAACAGAGAGAGAGAGAGACAGATAGAGAGAAGAGAGAGAAACAGAGAGAGAGAGAACAGAGAGAGAGAGACAAGAGAGAGAAAGAGAGAGAGAGAAGACAGAGAAGAAAGAGAGAGAAAGAGAGAGATAGCATAGAGAGAGAAACAGAGAGAGAGAACCAGAAGAGAGAGAAACGAGAGAGAGACGAGGAGAGAGAGCAGAGAGAGGAGAAGAGTATAGAGAGGCCAGCAGAACCATAATGGAGGATGTACTCACAGAAGACAGGCCAGCAGAACCATAATGGAGGAGTTACTCACAGTAAGAGGCCCAGTCAGAACCATATGGAGGATGTTACTCACAGTATAGACAGGCCAGTCAGAACCATTATGGAGGATGTTACTCACAAAGTAGCCCAAACATAATGGAGGATGTTACTCGCAGTATAGACGGCCCAGTCAGAACCATAATGGAGGATGTTACTCACAGTATAGACAGGCCCAGTCAGAACCATAATGGAGGATGTTACTCACAGTATAGACAGGCCCAGTATGTTGTCTAGAGCCGTAATGGAGGACTTGGTCAGCGGTTTCCACTTCTCCTGACCTTTCGCCTTCCTGGGACCTGCAACTGCGGCACCTTTCTTCTTCTGTGGTTTTGGCTGAGGGACCTGGCTGCTGGTTCCTGGCTGGGGCTCCTCCTGAAGAGGAGAGTACACGCAGACAGGACGTGTGAGAGAATGAAGTGATGAAAGCAAAGGAGAACCGTTTCCTCTCAGAGGTTTAATTCTGAAGAACTTTCTCACCCGAGAAACTCTCCGTTGACGTGTCTTTTCACCCGGCTTCTTTGGCTTCTCGCCTGTCTTTTTGCCTTTAGGCGCCTTGGATGGGGCGCGTTCAGATCCCCGGACAGGCTTCATAGTTTTAGCTAGGAAAAATAGACAGCGTCAGACAACTAATCAAGGCATACACAGGAAAAGTGAAGGGGGAAAAAAAACATAGCAGCTAAATAGATAAAATATGACATACAATCTGAAAGCTAGCAAACATTAGCATTGCCTTTACGAAACACGGATGTATTTTTTGTTGTTGTCAACAACAGCAGCTAACGTTAGCTAGCTAAGGAACTTTTTACATTTTATTCACAAGGCGATCATTTTTAGTAGAACAGTTTAGAGGTGCAATTTCTCGTTGCAGTTAGGGCCAACGTCGGAGAATAACAATTGCTAAAACACTTAAAACAAACGTTTGTAACTTGACTTACCAGTTTCGCGGTAAACTTCTTTCAAACGTTTGTTTGTACTCATTGCGCATGCGTTGTGAGCGGCAAGCAGGCAACTCCCGGCGGCCATGATGGGAAGGGCAGTGCGCACTCCTCATAGAGGATGATAGAGGCCTCTAGTGGCCAAAAGGCCGTATTAGCCTGCTTCTGCTTCTTCTTCTGTATCATGGCGTTCGCACATTTTGTTTGTGCATGCCGCCACCTACTGTGTGGTAGTGTGTGTTTTAATCACGTTACATTTTGTGATACAAAAATAAAATTGCACCACCAACTAACCCTACACCTATATACCACTATTCCGTACAACCCCCCCCCCCCCCCCCCCCCCCCCCCCCATTCCACTACTTTGACCCAAACTGATCCTACACCAGGCCGACGGCCTGGGAGGACGGGACTCTCTCCTTCAACACACCTTGTAACTGTTCTGCAGTAAAAGAGTTGGCGCAGTGGTCTAAGGCACTGCATCGCAGTGCTAGCTGTGCCACTAGAGATCCTGGTTCGAGTCCAGGCTCTGTCGCAGCCGGCCGTGACCGGGAGACCCATGGGCGGCGCACAATTGGTCCAGCGTTGTCCAAGGTAGGGGAGGGTTTGGCCGGCAGGGATGCAGGTTTGTTTCCCAAGTATGCATTCACTAACTGTAAGTCGCTCTGGATAAGAGCGTCTGCTAAATGACTAAAATGTAAATGTAAAACCTCGTACACCGAAGTACTTCTCTGCAGCTGCCACCACAACATCTATTCTCTGTGATTTAGGTTCCATTTCTGCGGTACAGTTGGTAACCATGGCAATGAATGCTAAGAAGCCAACCTTCCTGAAGAACACGTTCATATCACACTGGCCTTGGCCTACTACTCAGCCTTGACCCATCATCCTCTGCTCTCTTCACAGCCTCAGCATGACGCCTTCTGTTCTACACTCAGCCTTGACCCATCATCCTCTGCTCTCAGCATGACGCCTTCTGTTCTACTACTCAGCCTTGACCCATCATCCTCTGCTCTCAGCATGACGCCTTCTGTTCTACTACTCAGCCTTGACCCATCATCCTCTGCTCTCTTCACAGCCTCAGCATGACACCTTCTGTTCTACTACTCAGCCTTGACCCATCATCCTCTGCTCTCAGCATGACGCCTTCTGTTCTACCACTCAGCCTTGACCCATCATCCTCTGCTCTCTTCACAGCCTCAGCGTGACGCCTTCTGTTCTACACTCAGCCTTGACCCATCATCCTCTGCTCTCAGCATGACGCCTTCTGTTCTACTACTCAGCCTTGACCCATCATCCTCTGCTCTCTTCACTGCCTCAGCATGACGCCTTCTGTTCTACTCTGACCCTGGCAATCACAACCTTTCTCTCTCGCACCATGACACTTGACACACCCCCCCACAATTGACACACCGTTTTTTCCACCAACACTACACATTTCTTTGTCCCATGCTGTCCTGCACACTTCTCACATCTCGGAATCTCCCCTCCTAAACACTGCTGCAACATGGCCATAAGCTTGGCATCTGAAACACCTTAGTGGGTTCGGCACAAAAGCTCTCACAGGATAACTGACATATCCTAACATGACTTTATCAGGTAAAGACTGCTTCAAAACTCAAAAAGGACAGACAATGTCTTCTCAGTTTCAAAACGCTCACCACCGGGTCTGCGTCGCACCAAACAGCGGGCGTCACAGACACAGGGAATCCTCAATTTCAGTTGATCCACCTCGACACTTAACGCCACCCCCAGTAATCATTCCTTTCGAATGCGCCCTGCTCCGCAGAGCAAAGCAAGTCACAGGTCTTGTCCCTAGTCGCTTGACGCGAAGCGCCCGCTCCCTCTGAACAGAAGAAAAACAGAAAATCATCAGGAGTCCACTTCCAGCTACCTTCACTGATTTAACAGGACCAAACTTCTGATTTAACAGCCAAACTTCTGATTTAAAACGGACGCAAACTTCTGATTTTCAACAGGACCAGCACTTCGATTTAACAGGACCAAACTTTCTGATTTTAACAGGACCAAACTTCTGATTTAACAGTACCCAAACTTCTCCTGATTTAACAGGACCAAACTTCAAACCTCTGATTTAACAGGACCAAACTTCTGATTTAACAGGACCAAACCTTCTGAGTTTAACAGGACCAAACTTCTTGATTTAACAGGACCAAACTTCTGATTTAAACAGGACCGAAACTTCTGATTTAAAGGACCAAACTTCTGATTTAAAACAGTATCCAAACTTCTGATTTAACAGGACCAAACTTCTGATTTAACAGTACCAAACTTCTGATGTTAACAGTACCAAACTTCTGATTTAACAGGTACCAAAAACTTCTGTTTTAACAGGCCCAAAAACTTCTGTTTTAACAGTACCAAATTTCTGATTTAACAGTACCAAACTTCTGATTTAACAGGCCCAAAACTTTGATTTAACAGGCCCCAACTTCTGTTTTAACGTACCAAACTTCTGATTTAACAGGACCAAACTTCTGTTTTAACAGACCAACTTCTGATTTAACAGGACCAAACTCTGATTTAACAGTACCAAACTTGTTTTAACAGTACCAAACTTCTGATTTAACAGTACCAAACTTCTGATTTAACAGTACCAAACTTCTGATTTAACAGTACCAAACTTCTGATTTAACAGTACCAAACTTCTGATTTAACAGTACCAAACTTCTGATTTAACAGTACCAAACTTCTGATTTAACAGGACCAAACTTCTGATTTAACAGGACCAAACTTCTGATTTAACAGGACCAAACTTCGATTTTTACAGTACCAAACTCTGATTTAACAGGACCAAACTTCTGATTTAACAGGACCAAAACTTTGATTTAACAGTACCAAACTTCTGATTTAACAGTACCAAACTTCTGTTTTAACAGGGCCCCAACTTCTGATTTAACAGTACCAAACTTCTGATTTAACAGTACCAAACTTCTGATTTAACAGGACCAAACTTCTGATTTAACAGGACCAAACTTCTGATTTAACAGGACCAAACTTCTGATTTAACAGGACCAAACTTCTGATTTAACAGGACCAAACTTCTGATTTAACAGGACCAAACTTCTGATTTAACAGTACCAAACTTCTGATTTAACAGGACCAAACTTCTGATTTAACAGGCCAAACTTCTGATTTAACAGGACCAAACTTCTGATTTAACAGTACCAAACTTCTGATTTAACAGTACCAAACTTCTGATTTAACAGGACCAAACTTCTGATTTAACAGTACCAAACTTCTGATTTAACAGGACCAAACTTTGATTTAACAGGACCAACTTCTGATTTAAAAAGTACCAAACTTCTGATTTAACAGGACCAAACTTCTGATTTAAAACATGGACCAAACTTCTGAATTTTAACAGGACCAAAATTCTGATTTACAAGGACCAAACTTCTGATTTAACCAGTAACCAAACTTCTGATTAACAGGACCAAACTTCTGATTTAACAGGACCAAACTTCTGATTTAACAGGACCAAACTTCTGATTTAACAGTACCAAACTTCTGATTTAACAGTACAGTACCAAACTTCTTTTTCCCCCAGTCTGATACTACAAATGGGTCAACCAAAAGGCAGGGATCCACTTTCTCCAAAAAATGTCCCCCTCACAGGGTCAGAATCATCCTTTGCATGACCATCGGGGCGAGGGGTCGGTCTCGGTTCAATTTCTGAGCCATCAGAGCCAGAAGAATATGGTTTGTACTTGGCGGCATTCTTCCTCAACACGCATCTTCCCACCGCACTGGGCTCTTCTCTGTCTTCCTCTCTGTCCATAACCATCTCTACCCGTTCACCAGGCTCATGCCCGGCCTTCCTCCGCTGTACTGCCTGCAGAGCACACACTGATGGCTTTTCTCCAAAAACCCAACTTCTGTTCTTTAGCCCAATTTACAAGTCTGGCTATCTTCTTAATTCGATACACGTCTTCAAGAGGAAGTGAGTTCCGGGTTGCATTCCATTCCACTCCTCAGAAGGCAGTGCCATTGAAGGCTTTCACCATTTTTAATTTATTCAACTGGGTGGGACTTTCAACTTCATTGGCTGATCCCTCCTGGTGACCCTGTTGGAGTCATGTCCAAATGGGTCATCAGGAGGGGTCAGACAATCATGAAGAAGAAATTTGACTACTTCAAAACGAAGATTGCCTCAAGGGTGCTGCCCATGCTGTCACCAAAAAAACAAATGTTATATTGTCCCATCCACCGGCTAGGTGCAGTATGCATCCACCGGCTAGGTGCAGTATGTTGTCCCATCCACCGGCTAGGTGCAGTATGTTGTCCCATCCACCGGCTAGGTGCAGTATGTATCCACCGGCTAGGTGCAGTATGTATCCACCGGCTAGGTGCAGTGTGTTGTCCCATCCACCGGCTAGGTGCAGTATGTTGTCCCATCCACCGGCTAGGTGCAGTATGTTATCCCATCCACCGGCTAGGTGCAGTATGTATCCACCGGCTAGGTGCAGTATGTATCCACCGGCTAGGTGCAGTATGTATCCACCGGCTAGGTGCAGTATGTATCCACCGGCTAGGTGCAGTATGTATCCACCGGCTAGGTGCAGTATGTATCCACCGGCTAGGTGCAGTATGTTATCCCATCCACCGGCTAGGTGCAGTATGTATCCACCGGCTAGGTGCAGTATGTATCCACCGGCTAGGTGCAGTATGTTGTCCCATCCACCGGCTAGGTGCAGTTATGTATCCACCGGCTAGGTGCAGTATGTATCCACCGCTAGGTGCAGTATGTTGTCCCATCCACCGGCTAGGTGCAGTATGTATCCACCGGCTAGGTGCAGTATGTATCCACCGGCTAGGTGCAGTCATGTTTATCCCATCCACCGGCTAGGTTGCAGTATGTTATCCACCGGCTAGGTGCAGATGTTATCCATCCACGGCTAGGTGCAGTATGTATCCACCGGCTAGGTGTCAGTATGTATCCACCGGCTAGGTGCAGTATGTATCCACCGGCTAGGTGCAGTATGTATCCACCGGCTAGGTGCAGTATGTATCCCCGGCTAG